CAACTGTCTTACTATACTATACATGAATCACAAGATGTTTTGAATTATTTTATCGACTCCAAGGTGACTGACTTTTCCGACAACAGTTGGGAATTTTCAGCGGGGATTCACTTCGTGTCGAGCTAACGACTTCCTGATAACACATTCTTGCAATTTTTTGAAAAGCTTTAATGACGCAATTGTTGCATTTTTCTCATAGGGAAATTTGTTTGGACGGAAATGACCTCAAATTTTTGGGCTTGTGTGATCGATAGATGTCATTCGTGATTTTGATTCGATTAAAACGATATAAAATAACAACAAGGAAATGTTATAATCAAATGTCAAAAGGTCAAGAAGAGACATTTATTAATTAATTTCAAATGTTTGAAACTTATTACGTGTTATATGTTTTTTGGTACTATAGAAGATTATTGGTTAACTTTCTACACTTACGAGTAAAGTAAGAAGTCGTTTACAACAGTTCCTTGACATAATGGGAACCGATTTTCCACTTTATGTAAACATTATGTCATATAACTGAGTTTGTTTGAAAAGATGCAAAATATCCGACTTTTTCATGAAATTTTACTCAAAATTGTCATTTTATCGCTTAATTTCTATGTTTATTGTTAAAAATGTTTAATTTAATAATAATTATCGCTAGACTGACGTTTGTGAATTGTGACCTTGACTGCCAATAAGAATTTGAAGCAGGTTCTACAGTGTTGTTGAATTAACTGAAAAAACAACCTGAAATGGGGGAAGTTTTAATATTCTGAACGCACAAAAAATTAAAACGATTTAATTAAACATTACCTTTATTGTTTATGTTAATATCTAATATTAATAATAAATTTCTTGTCTTTCTATTATTGCTGTTATCTTTTAATAATCTCTTGCTGTTGTTTCAACATTTTTATCAAGCGATTATGAAAAAATTGTTATTTTAATTTTGTGTGATCCACATGACTAATTGTTATTCATTGATTACGTTTGTTTACTACAACGATAGAATACGAATAAAGAATTGAAATTTCGAAATGAATACTCCGAGTTTAGATAATGTATTAAAAATACTTTTGTCCACTTTGCGTAGATATATTATTTAGATAATATTAAAACAACATTTCGAAATTGTTTTTGGGTTTGAAATAAAAAAATCGAGGCCACAATTCATAGCCAGAGGATCAGTTGCACATTTTTTGCAAATTAATTATTTCCGTCTTTGATGAATATTCAAAAATTGTGACAATTCTGACGTATTTTGCTTGTGTTTTTTTTTTCTTGAAATTTTTCATTATTTTTCATCAAATTCCTTCAGGGTTAGAAGTGAATAATTCGATTTTCTATCACTTCCTGGTTCTATTTTCAACCCACTTCTTCTCTTTTGTTATTTTCTTCAATTTCTATTTTTACACCACCTTGAAAACACGGAAGCAAATCGCAAATGATATTCTGCTTTGTCATTTTATTTATTTGATTTCGAAAATTGTCTCCATCCATGTGGAACGAATTGAAATTCGCGTTAAATTTTACAGTTTAGAGTTGTGTTGATTGGATTTAGAACCAACTTTGCACTTTTGTCAACATTGCACTTTCTTGGAATCGTAAATGTTTCTATTTCCAGAGTGGAATTTTTCACTCACGTCCTAATTAATTCATAATCCCAACATTTGATGAGTTTAATTCACTTCAAATTGTGATTCATTCATAAAAAAATATAGATCTTTCGAGAAATTTGTCACGGAAATAGTTAAAAGTGAAATCACGTGCCATCCAAAAACACAATAGGGGATTAACAACAAAATGACGATCGTGTGTGATAGTGTAACGCTTTCTTATGTAAGTAATACATAATTCAGACGACTTAATTCGATGTTGTTTGTGGAGTTGGACATAAAATGGGTTGGGTTATTTTTTGTTTTGTTGTTACAACACGAACGAGCGGCGCGATGAGTACTTTTAAAGTCTATAAGTAGAAATACAAGGTGACGCAAACAACAATTGTTTAAATTACATTCGTTTTTTTTGCTTAATTAATTATAATTTAATGCCAACAATTGTTTGTCTTTAGATATTTTGATATAATGTAACTATACAAAATTGTACACAATGTTCGGTTTCAAACCTATATTTTTTTACAATTTTAGTTTTTGTTTTGTTTTTGTTGTACCTGTTCTAATTTTTCAGGAATTTGCAATTTGGTGTGTTTATAGCGGAATCTGTCATCGCCTCAAATCAGGTTCTAGTTCATCTCAACCTATTTAAAAGTGGCACAATTGCACATCTAAATATTATTCTCATATGACCAACTTTCACGTTCGTTATCTATTAAAAAAGCTCTCGAATCAGAGCAAAAATTCTTTTATTTACGCTAAGTTTTAAATAAGAAATCGTAGAGCGGAAGCTATCTGTCTGGCTTTTAGCCAGAATTTCGACCTGAGACAATGTCGATGATTCGTGGCCCGAATTTGAACTCCTCATGAGAGATAAACGTGTCTATTAATAGTTGAGTTTTGATTCTTGTTGTTATTTATTCGTGTCACGTTTCATAAGGTGACGTTTCTTGATAATGCGAGTGAATTTCCACAATGATAGCGTCCATTCACGTGTCAATCGAGGGATTATTATGTCACGGTCTTTGTTAAGACGATACAACGATTCATTTTGCTTCAAACCCATTCAAACAGGGTTTTTTTTCAAAAGAAAATGTGGTGGTTAACGTGGCTTATGATTTTGAAATTAAGTTGGTAACAGTTCAATTACAAAATCACAGAGTAGACAAAAGGTTAGTAAAATAGTACCTTTTTACTTCAGTGCATTAGTATTTTTTTTGTTGGTATTAAAGTTTATAAATTCAACTTTTTTTTAAAATACAATCAAATTTAATGTAGAAATATAAAGTTTCTATTCAATGTTGCCAATTTAATTTTTAAGTCACAGGTCACTTTAATCAAAAATGTAATATTAAGTAACAATTGTTAACATTCCGTTTGTAACACTGAAACTGGCTTTTCTGTTTGAATCATGTAACTACTTTTTATTGTAATTTCTTTTATAAATTCAAGTTTTTTTAATCAAATTAAAAATCGATCAATATCTAATTTGCCAAAAATGTTTAAATCTTGTTGCAATATTTGGTTTCAGGTAAACCTTGAAACGTTTTAAGAGGTCGTAAAAATAAGTTGAATGATCGTTTATTGAAATTTTGTACTTTTAATTTGAATCGTTAATTTGATTTTTATTCTTGTTTTACTTGTTTATTTTTATGTCCATTTTTCTACATGTGGCCTTACATTTTTTCGTTTGGTTGTAGCCATTGATTGATTTTTCTTGATTTTTTAAATATTTGGCAATAAAAATGTTAATATTTACTTAAAAATTTAAAAAACTTTTAGCAATATTTGGCAGGAAGGTAAACCTTGCAAGCCTTCAGGAGGTCGCAAGTTGAACGATCTTTAGTTCAAGTTTTGTTTTTTTTTTGGTCATTTTAGTTATTGTTTCACTTGATTTTATTTATTTTATGTTTGTTTTCAATGTTTTCAGATTGAAAAATCAGAGTTAAATAAGATTTAAAAAATGCTACAGGATTAGAAATAATGTACTTCAAGATACATAAAAGTCGGCCTATTACGAAATCGAAATGTGGTTTTAACACCAAAGGTCAGCTCGCTCTTCAGAATTATCACTTTTAATTTTTCCCGCTTGTGTATGTATCTAGGTGCATTCTTGTCACAAGGTCGTTTGAGAAAAGGAAGCGGAAAAATGCACTTTGTTGGAAATTTTCTTGCATCGTTGAGTAATGAAAATCAGAGCGTGATAAGACGACACATGATGTGTGCTAGCGAAAATAATATCACTCTGATTAGAACAAACAATGCTATATTTATCCCTCGATGTATTATATAACGTGTAAATAAGTACCTGTTGTTGGTAATCGGGATTAGAATTACAAAATTGACAAAAAGGTCACCTTAAAAATTCGTCGGCTTTGTTGCCTTGACTCGTAATTATATTCTTGCAAAATTTAAATGCTGAGGAAAACGATGAAATATTAATATTCTGGCCTAATTGCGACTGTCAAAATAAAAAAATTTGAAAAAATTGCGTTTTTAAATGAAGTGTTTTACTAGTTTTAATAAAATTTTTGTTTTTTTGTCAAAAATTTAATTTTACGATATTAGAATTAGTGGCGCTGCGCCACGACACCCCCGGCCAGTGGCTCTTCTCTATCAATACCTATATTCAATATGCACAAACTTAAAAAAAAAAACTGAAAACTTTACAAATTAATTATTTTCAATATATTTAAGCCGCAATTTATAACATAAGTAAAAATTTTCAAATAAAATACATATTTAAAAAAAATGTTTTTACTACCGAAGTCACGTTCAAAAAATCGAGAAAATTTATTTTTTATGTTTATTTGCATTTTTTTTGAGTCCTATTGACCTTCAGGAGTGCAAAGCGTTAATTGGTTTTACAATTTTCGATATTTTTTTCTCGTATTTTTTCGATTTAATTATTAAGGAAACAAATATTTCCAGCTAATCTGCATTTAATTATTTTGTCTTTCCCATATCTGAAGGACCACTAATTACTGAATTCTTTGGGTATTTTGTGTTATACATAAAATATACACAAAAAACTTGAAAAACCCAAATTTGTTTACAAATAAAATAGAGGAAATTTTTCATTTTACGATAATATTTATCTTGGTGTAAGATTTTTTATTTAACCGCAAATAATTGCAAATAGGGGAATTTGTGGTCAAGTTGTTGTCTCTTTAAAACGATTTGCATAAAATTTTACAATACAAACCGTTTTTTTTTTGTGAAAATGAAGCTGGATTTTATTACGTATTATTTTATTTCTCCCCTTTCGCATATAAATCACCCGCAGGTCTCTCCCAATCCCTGAACCCTACGACCAGGAAAACTGAGTTCACGCCACCGTCGAGGACTCTCAATGTCACTCAAAATCAATAGAATCTAAATCAAACAAAACTTGCTTCTATTCAAAAGTATTTATTGAGCATTACATATCGAATAGATAATGACAAAGAACAAATAATGGTAAACCTCGGATATGGTTGCGAATGGTTGAGTTTATCACAGATATTCCAAATTATCTAGATTTAAGTCTAGATTATGAGATGCACAATGGTGAGAAGAATTAAGGGAAGAAGCGAAGAAGACGCCAGAGAGGCGTCACCGCAAAGTTTGATTTCGCTTTCCTGAAAAAAAAAATTAATAAACATGCAATGATTTTATCTTAATTAAAACATAAAAATTACAATGAAATAAATACACTGTTTCCTAGTGACCTAATAGCATAATTTAATTACCCCTTAACCTTGCTATAAGATATTAATTTTGATTAAAATTATTTCTATCAATTGAGTGTCGCCTAAAACTAGGCAACCAGTAATACAATTATAAACTTTTAGATTGTTTCCAAATTATCCAAACAAGTTTTTCATGAGTCACCCTCTCGAATAATAAACAAGCTGAGAAAATTTTGAAATGTTCGCCTACGAATAACCTATTCTTGTATTTCACCTAATCTTGACCTTGTTATATACAGGGTGAGTCATTTTTGCGGTTTTGGAAGATACTCACTTATTATTCAAACTACGAATGTAATGTTTTGTCGTGTTGTATGAGTGTTAAACCTGCATTGATTTAAATTGTTTTGAAATATGTGAGGGGTTCCATTATTACAGGACCGTACTCAATTTTTTTTTCAAATGACAACCTATGTATATTTTTTGCCAGTTTTATTGGGCTGGCGAAATGCTTTAGAGCCATGTTTTGTTTTTAAATTTTGGTTGCGGCGTTGCCAGGTTATTTAATTTTATATAATTATTGTGAAAGCGGCCTTTGCTCTATCGTGTGATATAATTTTTATTTATTTTTGAAACGTAACAGGCCATAGGTCAAATTTTGAAATATTACACATATTGAAATTTTGAAGAATTTTCACTTACGTTGACGTTCCTATTGATGCAGCTCATGTAGTGCCTCCTGGTGAAATTGTTAAAAAGGGCCCTATAGCAGGCCAAAGACATGTTGTAATCCACCAGGACCGGATCCGGCATTTTCGCCATGGTATTCTCCTTCTCCACACAAACACTATTAACCACCAACAGTATCATATTACTGTTGAAAACCCTCTGGACTATAAACGGTCTGGTGCAATCGTTGGTCATACCCTTGTTGTATCCACTACTCGGAATGCTTTTCTCGGGATAATGGACTAAAGTGTAAAACCACATTTCGTAGTCGCATGGTTCTGGTTTGGTTTTTTTGAGTAAAACGCGTTGATCGAATTCTTTTTCGGTGAGTCGGGAGGGTTGTTCGGTGGTTTCCGATTCAAAATCGTGTTCGGAATCGTAACTGTGCATCTCGTGGTCTTCTTCAGGGTATGAAATGGTTTCCAATTCGGCACTGATGGTGTGAAGGAGGTAGAAGAAGGTGGCGGTGGTCCAGTGGATGAGACGAAAGAGGTGCTCCAAAGGCTGTAAAATAGGGGATGGAATTGGTGGTTAGAGAGAAGATGCACGTGGGGGTGGATTTGAAGCAACAAAAGTGAACAAAAAATAGTGTAGCGATTTTTTTTTAAGTTTTCTAGTTTCATTCAGAAACTAGAATCTTGTCAAGTTTAATGTTTAATTTAATAAAATTTAATAAAAAAAACTTCTAATCTTCTATAAACTGTTTCCACTACAAAATTAAAGACAAGAGTGGTTTAAAATTTTATTTAAAGTGAGGTTTTACATGAAATTTGTGTTGCTTTTTTCTATTTGTAGAATTTTTAGTTACAAAATTACTTTTTTTTGGGTTATTTTGTTTAGAAATCATCAAGTAAGAAAAGATTTAAATTCGAATTAGTAAATTAAATAAGCAGGATACTTACTTTTTTCTTTATATTTTAACATT